AAAAAGAGCTCAAACAACTTGCAATCGCTCCGGTATTTTCTTTTTTTATGTATCTGCTATTTATGTTATATGTCATATAAAAATTAATACTTCAACTTCACATGATTGTTTAGTCATATTTCACATTGAATATGATTTTTCTCAAATTTACCTGCTGCTAATTTGAAATATGAGAAATATTTATTATTGGACAATAGGTTGCTAAGGGGAATACATTGAAATTCTTTAGTTCCATACATAATGTGGGATAAGTGACAATTTCCATTACGAAGTTTGTCATAGAAGTCTTTGGAGTCTAGAAAAAGATTGTACACAAATAAGGAGACTTGATGCAGGGAAGATATAAAAGCTTATATGAAAATATAATTGTAAAGAGTGGCAAAAATTAAATAAGAAAGCTAAAACTTTTGATAATTTATATAATAGGCTTAGTCGTAAGAAATGAGAAAAGCAGATGTATAAAATAGCAAAGGCAAGAGATAAGATGTCTGAAATTTTTTTTATTTAGTTAGATTCATTAGCATTGAATATAACTAGAATTTTCGTTAAAGACAAAGTCAGGCAAAATGAAATTGCTACTCTGAGAAAATTATCAAATAAGAGCTGTAAGAAACAAAATAATTTTGAAAAACATAATAAACAAAATAATGATGTAAATTAATTTTGAAAAATCAATTTAGTTTCACATCAGAAAGATAGACCACAATTTTTTGTGTAAGATAATTGACGAAAAAGTATATATAGCAGATATATGGTCTTGAAATAACCTTTTTTGGTCTTAAGAAGGCACTACCACTAAATTGATTTGGTGTGAATTAAGGAAGACGTGCGTCAGAGGCATGTTGAAGTTATTAAAGATATGCCTAATTGAGCGTTGAATAACATTAATAGTTGCGAAGCGAGCAAAAATTTTTCAATTACATAGAATTGCATCAACTATTAACATGGAGTTCACATATTTTGATTATGGAGATGCTTATAAATGATATTCATAATAAAGTGTTTTAGTGTGTTATTTTTATAGAGGATTAATTTATAATCAATGAGACAAATTAGAATAAAAGATCAAATAATTAAAAGATAAGACAACTTAAAATTAGTAGAATAAAAACTAAGTTTATGATATATAATTTAATTGGGTGTGATATCAACAAATATAAATTGTTATTATTAAAGGATAAAAAGTTTGATAGTTTTAAGTATTTTGAATATAATATATAGAAGAATGATGAAATAAACGAGAAAATAGGTTCTACAATAGTTAAAATAAATTATTTTTGGAGTACTGTGTGATGTTGCTGACTTTGATGTGGAGAGGATTAAGTGAATATTTAGGAAGGGGTGGTTAGGATTGATAATGAAGGGACTAATTGAGGAAACCAAGAAGATCACTTTATTAGAAGAATTATTTGCAGAGATGATGGGGCTCGGTCAAAGATAGTTTGGGATGAAGGTTTGAGGTAAGAATGTAGTGTTAAGATTGAGATAAATACTCTGGAGTATGGTGGCTTTTAATGGTGGATAAGTCGCCTAGGGTGTTAAGTCGCCTTAAGGGGGTGGGGATAGGGGGCATAGTTTTGAGGGAGGATTCTTGGATTGTGTGATAAGTCGCCTAGGGTGTTGAATAAGATTAGAATGTGATGAGGATGCTCGGAATCGAGATAATGTAGAGTTTAGGGTTGGGTACCAGTAAGCAAGCCATGAGGACTATGTTTTCGTCAACCTAAAGGGTTGAGACTAAATATAAGTTCAACAAGTCTAAAGATCGAACCTCTAAAAATCTTTAATGCTCACAAACATGAGGGTCGAGCTTCCCGGATCAAAGAACACGGCACGACTTAAGCCGTAAGACCTACTTACAATCAACTTCCAAGGGAAGCCATAAGACATATCTACAGGCAACTTTTAAGGGAAATCGTAAGACCTACCCCAAATCAAAATTACAGCCAACTTTAAAGGGAAGTCGTAAGAATTATCCCAAATAAAAACTACATGCAACTTTCAGGGGAAGTCATAAGACCTACCACAAATAAAAACTATAGGAAACTTTCAAGGGAAGTCATAAGACCAATCCCAAATCAAAACTACAGACAACTTCCAAGGGAAATTGTAAAACCTACCCCAAATCAACACTACACATGCCACTTCAAATGGAAGCCATAAGACCTATCCCTAATTTAAACTAAAGGCTACTTCCAACAGAAGTCGTAAGCACCATTTTAAACCAAATGTTCCAGGAAACTTCTAAACGATACCCTAAGCTCCAACCTAAATTAAATTCCCGGGCAACTTCTAAGTGATGTAGTAAGCCTCAACCTATATCAAACATACAAATAATTCCTAAGTTGAGTAGTAAGCCCCGACCTAAACCAAACTAATGGGTAATTTCTAACAAAGACATAAGCCCAAAACTAAATAAATTAATGGGTGTTCTAACATATATAAATTCCAAACCACAATAAAATCACTTCAATATATTTGGGATTCCTGAGAAGAGGCAGCCCATGGCTGCTAAGAAGTTTAAAAGTTTTAGTCTCATTAGTTGGGAGTGATTAACTATGAAGGCATGCGCTTATAGGAAGTAAGGATCAAAATCTAAATAAACCTCAATACAATCCTCAGAGAAAATATGGCTAACTAAAACTCAATTTGCCTTAAAGAAAATGAAATCCTAAGTCTTAAAAGAGGGATTCATGTCGAGCATCATTTTTCTTGAGCAAACATACTAGTTTTAGATTTTGGTGGATTGGATAAAGATGTTTGTTGAGGAATGGCTTTGGGAGATGTGGAAGATGCAAGTAGGATAAAAATATAGAGAAACACGAGAAAATGACACTTTGACTCTCATGACTCATGAAAAAATCAAGTTTGCATGGAAGTCACCAAGCTCTCAATTAAGTAATTCACCACAACAAGCTCTTGGAGAAGAAGAAAGCTTCAAATTTTCACTGAAAACCATCCAATAAATAGAATTTTTTTTACTTCCATCCATTACAAACATTTAAATTTTAAAAACACAAAAGTGGGAAAGAGAGTGGCTAATTGTTCCATGGAGCGCACGTGGTTGCACCCTCGATTGAGAAGGTAGTTAGGGCTAGCCATTGTTGGCTTGTTTTGCATGTAGAATGACCTCCCTTGTACATCCTTGCATGGATAATTCATTCTTCTGGAATGCACTTGCTCCTTGAGTCCATTTCCATACAACTAACAAGCATTTGGCTTGATATTGACAACTTACATACTAAGTATATACTAATCATTACTGGAGCTCCAAAAGATACTAAAAGACCATGTTAATATGATGGAAAACCAAAATAACATAACTAACTTGCTAAGACCCTTGGCTCACCTGAAGGAAAAAATTCATAGAACTATAATTAAGATCACAGTGTTGTATGAATCCAAGCGTTAGACAAGAAAAAAGCCATTGATCTAAGTTAAAAGTAATAGAAATGAGAATGTTCATAGGGATGTATGAAATTTTTGGAAAGATGCATTAGGGAATGACTACATAAAAGAAATGGTTGAATTGCTATTTATTAAAGATAAGGTAATTAAAAAATAGACTTATATAATTTGAGCATACACAACTAATAATAAAAAACGCACCCAATTAAACAAGTGATCAAATTAATGTCAAATGGGTAAGAAAAAAGAAACGGTAAAACTAGGGTAACATGGGTAGTAGAACAAAAAAAAAAGTGAATTCATAGAACCGACCCTAAACACTGGTGATAAGGCCAATGATGAAGAAACAAACAAAAGCCAAATTCACCGAATATTTTACTTGTTTCTGATCTAATAGTTTTAAAACAAATTTAGAATGTTTCAAGTAAACTGGAAGTGGCAACATATTCAATAAAACATTTGCTCCAATTTTAGCACCTTAAACATTGACGAAGTTGAGAATTGGTCCAAGCTTATAAATAACACTTACCAATGTCAAATTATCAATGTGTCAATTTTCAACGAGGCCAAACCTTACACCACAAGAAAAAAATAATTCACCATGCTTGAATGTAATATGCCAAAATTTCACATATAAGAGGGTGGACTTGGAGCAATGATAAATTTACATTTAATGTAATCAAAAGGTCCAAAATAACTAACATAGTTTGCAATTTGACATTAAAAGCTATCAATTTACCTTAAGAGAACAAATCTACACAAGATTCTCAAAATAAACAAGCGATCAATTTCTCAGCATTAAACCACTCTAAAGGCTTCATTCAAATCTCAACAAGTCAAAATTAAAAAAAAAAAAAAAAAAAACCACCTTTTTGAGTAAATTACCTATAGGTCCCTGAAGAATAAGAGCATTTGCCAAACTTCACATTAGACTGCATTTTGTTAAATATAACATTTGGGTCCCTGAGATATATAAAGATGCTTTACTTTGGTCTTTATTTTACAAAATAATTAATAAAGAATTAAATGTCCAAAATGCCTTGCTCCTTTCCCAAATTTTATAAATAAAGCAAATCAAATAACCTTCCGCAGCCTCCTAGCCCACTTTTACTTCTCATTTTCATCTCTCAATGCCTAAAAATTGAATTAGCAGCCAGGCACATAATAGGCTGGAGACACATGAGAAAACAGTCAAGAATGGATCAATGGCAAAGAAACCCGCCTAACTGAAGCCCAAAGCAGATAAGTGTCTGCCAAGTGCTGAATAAGGATGGCATAGCCGGAGCCAACAAGAAAATGAAGAAAGCTAAGAAGGGGTCCAAGACATCGTTTGTAGAAATCAAATTGCACTTTCTCAAACCATAGCCTTCCTTTTTCAAAATGGGTTTAACTGGTCCTTTTTTTTTTTTTTAGAATTTGCCTTTCAAACAAAAATTCATTCGAGTGACTAAACCAAGCACAATGAGTAAACTCCATATTACCTCGCATAAACTCCTATCCGAACTACAAATTATAATATCTTCATCTTACATCAATATTCTGCCTACAGCTTTTTCAAAAAGCAAAACAATCACAAAATGTTTTCAATTTACCAGAATCAAGAGCTGCTAGAACTGGCTGGACGTAATCTTTCAGTTCAGGAGTGCAGTTAGGCATCTTGCTCATATATGCTATTGCTATCAAGTAAGCGCCTATAATATGAACACACACAATTAGGATAACAGTAAACATAATTCAAATTTGATAATAATAAATGAATTGTGAAACTAGCGGCATGCCATCATAATACTCCATAACCACATGAAAGATCACAGAATCATGATACAAATTTTTATACATATGCAATAAATTATGCAGCTAGAAGCATACCATCAAAATATCCAATTGTCTGAAGAACATTTATTCCATATTTAAGCATTTTGGATATGTCCGTCGGAAGTTGAGGTCCACAATCCTGATTAAGGTACAAAGCAACTGAAACTAGTAATAAGGCACAAAAGAAATATGAAACCACTAGACGCAATGTCATAAAGAATACTAACTGGTGAGACATTATTCCTTTTGTCCACACCTTTTCCATTGACCAAGAAGCTGCAGAAGAAAAACAAAATACAAAGTAAATTTCTATCAAAAGTTTTGGAATGCAAAATAGGTAATCTACCTCGCTTGAGGATTTGCGATACAGGAAGAGGTTTCCAAATTCTCTGTCTTAACAACAATCAGCATCTGCCCAAAACAAAAAGTGGTGAGCATACGGGTAGATAAGATTGCTCTCCACAACATAAGAATTGAAGACAAAAACAGCTGCTTTAAAATCTGCAGGTAAGAAGTGATAAATAATCAGGTATGGTTTTTCAGTTTAAATCCAACATCATGCCACCATGATGCCACCATGATGCCTAAAGTATACGCTTCAGAAAGAGCCATAAAAAAAATCCCCAAATTCGAGCTCCAACTTGAAATTTTTCACCAAGGAGAAGAATAATTGTTCCTTATATTCTATTATAAACATGAGTAAACAGAAAGACACGCAGAAAAATTACACCAGCGTACGTCCCACTAACTTAATTTATTATGCACAGACCAAATATAAGATTCCATTCAAGTTCATGCCTCGACTCATATCAAATATCAGGCAGCTTTGGTTCAACTAAGTATCGCATTTCATGCACCACGACAATGAACAGATGAATCATACCTCAAGTTAAAATAAACCTATGCTGATTTAAAATAATTAATAAATGGTTATAAATACATATATAATTTTAGTGTACATAATGTTAAAATTATCCTTAATATTATCAGAAGATAAAGGTGATGCTTAGATAAGATAGGTTTAACTTGAATTTCTTATAAAAAATAATTGATATATAGATGATGATATAATTCTAGAATTAAGGTTGGATGGTTAAAATGAAAAAAAAAAATGCCTTGGGAGTTTTTTACGATAAGAGAATATCACTGAAGCTCAAAAGAAAATTTTATAAAATAGCAATCAGATCAACAATATTATCCATATGTTGGGCTTTTAAAATGTCATTAAGATCTAAATTGAATGTTGCAAAAATGTAAATAGCATGCATGTGTTGGAAAAGTGTAATATCCAATTTATCCGGTAAATAAATTGTTTTAATATTTTATAAGTAATTAAATTACTAGTAAATAGATATTAGTAAGAAATATACTAAATCAAATTGGATAATTTTATTTTTATTATGAATGAATGATTAGGTACTTTCAAGGGATGTGAAAGTAGTTAGCATGTGGGCCCTCATAATCCAATTGGTTCGGTAATTACAAGCAGCAATCGGCAAAACTTCTGTAGAAGAAATTCTGCACTGTGAGAGGAAGGGTCCAGTAGCAATTTTCGGTCTCCCGCGACTGTAGAGAAAGCCACAGAATTACAAAAGGCAGTGGAAGTTTTCCCTGTAGCAAGGATCGCAATTCTCCTGTAGCAAGAGGCGGAGATAGAGACAGGATTCGGCAGGAGCAGTCCTTGCTGTCGATGGAAATTGTTTTGTTGTGAAGAAATTACAACCAAAGGAGAACTTTAAGTGAGAATTTGGAAGAGTAAGAAACCAAGAAAAGTTTAGAGAAGAAGAAAAGTGGAATAAAAGGAATGCTGAATGCTAACGGATGATCAAAGAATTATGCCGATTTGGATAAGTAAAGTTGTGCTTAAATTCCATAGCAGGATTTGAGACTGAATTGCATTAAAGAATTCTGTTAAAAAAAAAAGGAAATTAAGGAAAGAATGAATTAAGGTAGGAATTTTAAGTTTCTTTAATCTTTTTTCTAGAAGTTAAAAGACAAGGAAAGTTTCTAAAGAAATGTATCCTAATTGTGTTTTAGGATTCACCAGACATATGAACAAAGAAAGTTTTGGGAGAGTTTATCAAAGGATAACATCAAGGGGTGTAGAATTGAAAGAGGCAATTCATCAGGAAGGTAATTTATGTAAAATTAATTTATTGATTTCCAGTGTATTTATCATGTATTTTAAATGGTTTGAGAAATTCAATGCATTATGAATATTTGCATAGTAACCATGAGAATACATTGCTGTAATCATTTATAAGCAATTGTATTTTATGAAAAATTGAAATTGAAGTTGATATGTGATCAAGTATGTTGTTTCAATTTTTTTGATAATATGTTATAAAGAAATTTCATTCTTTAGGTAATGCTTGTCAAGTTCTTCTTGCAACACTTGCAATGCTATATAAATGATTATAGTTATGAATTATGAATATGTAATAATTACTGAATAGTTACTTAGTAAAGATTGACTATTCTATTTTATGGTATCTACAGTATCAGATGGGCAAAAGGAACCCAGTTATGAAACATGTATTATGGATGGGACAAAAGGGACCCCAGAGAATTTAAATGCATGCATAGCAGGTGGGACAAAAGAAACCCTTAGAGAGGCAAAAGAGACCTCTATGAAATTCAAAGGTGATAATGTCAGATCTACCTGAGCTCCATTGAATATGTTTATAAAAGTATAGCCAAATTTTTTAAAAGACTAAATATTCAGTATCCACCTCATTTGACCATATGGATGATGCCAATAAATCTTTATGATGTTTTGCAAATAGTGGTAAGTTAATTCAATGATTAGCTCAATGTTATAATTATTTATAATATCATATTGTAATTGTTATTTATTTGATATAATTTACTGAGTCTCACAGCTCACAAGTATTTTCTTACTGGATGTTATAGGAAAGGGGAAAAAGAAGATTGTTGCAGATTAATTTTGCAATATATTTCTTCTTTTATGTTAAGCTTATCTTTGTTAGTAAGTCTACTGATGAGGTATGAAAACATTTCTGAAAGGGACTATATTTGGATTTCCTTAGTAGCTCTGTAAGCATGTCTGTATGGAAGTTTTAAATTATTAATTGCTTCTGTGGATGTATCAATTGAAATATCTTGGATGTTTTAGATGAATTTCCAATAAGAGAAATTGTATTAGATGTTTATAAAAAGGAAATTGTTATCTTTATGTTTGTAATACTCCCAGTACTTCTTAGGGGTATTGTGGGGTGTTACAAAAAGTAAGATGGATACATTAAAAGTGATTATATTAAAAAAATGATTGAATGGCATCCATTGGTAATAAGTTAGCAATTTTGATATGCACAACGAAGGGTAGAAAATGTGCCTATTAGGCAATTAATAAAATTAGAGTCAAAGGCCTAAGACAAAAAAATAGGTAGGCATAAGGTTCCATAGCAAAAACTTTCCAAAATAATTTGCAAAGAAAAGATTTAACACCTTAAACAACACTCACCATGAGTGAATGAAAAATGAGAATTAATAATGTTTTGGGATAAGGCTAATGATGATGATGGTGAATAAATAATTAAAATCAATTACATATATAATAGATAGAAATCTTAACAATAATGGACCATCTAATCCAAGTATTCAACTATTAGAGGTCAATTTTTGTAAATTTTTTAAACTTTTGTTATTTTTAAAACAGTATAATTTCAAGAAATTTTTAGTTTCCCGTATCTTTTTGAATTGCTACCCAATATACCATTTTTTGCCGACATGTTTTTTTCTGAACTCTTTCACATTAATTGTAGACATCTTCCTTATTGTGTTTCCACTTCTCCATAGGGAATTAATGGTGCAAGCCTTGTAAAATAATACTAGTAATACTTAACCTAAATAAAAACCCACATTAAAATTAGCATTCACCAATCGAATCTCAAAGTTATTGAAAAATGGTTTCACATATAATTCTAAGGAAAAGAAAATGGAGTGCATTCCATTACAGGCAAGTTGCCATTGAATCATAAACATATAGAGATCTAAAAGCTTAATCCATCAGGAAGATGATTTTTATTCAAGGTTAATGGATTCCTTCTTGCATTATTAAATAGATGAATTAGATTCTTCATGTATGCACCTCACACTAGAAAATTAATTAAGCAACCATATGCTATTTCTCATTTCAGAAGAATAATCGGTTCAAACTTCTATAAACTTCTGCGTTGGCTTTAGAAACTCCTGGCATGTACAATCGAAGATTAATTAGCCAGTTCTATAGCTCAGATTCCCAAAACTAATATTTAGCACGAATGTCAATATATATACATTGTAACTTTCCTATTTAGGACAGGTGTAACAAGATTTGAGTTTTCATCCAAACATTAGTTAAATGATATCCTTTTTTAACCGGGTTCAAAAAGATGGAAAAAAAAAACATGATTTAGGAGGTCAAATCATTGCAAATCTTCGGTAAATCCCTGAAAAATTAATAACATTATGGTAGACATGCAACTTTTTCATGCACCACTTAAAATCAATCTCCACACTCTCAAAACCATGTGGCGATCAAAAACATGATGTATCAGGTATCACCCTAGGGCCTAGACACTAACCCAAGTGAAGTAAGGCACAAATAATAAATAGTTATGTCACTTAAAAAAAAGTATTTGAATTTTGAAAACTACTTTTGAAGAATATAAATCAATAATTATAGCATCTAACCATGATTGTTCGAATTCCATTATATTCCAAGTTTAAGAATCTTGCTAAAAAGATACTTAAACAATACAAGCAAATCTACTTATTCTTTTAGCATGAATATCCCAAAAATAATCTAATATTCGTTGCTATCAATTTCATCTTCGACAATATCCATGTGATATTCTCTTTTACTAGATTATTAGTCTGGTATCTTCTATCTCCTCGAATTAGTTTGCAAGATGCACTAATTTAGATTTGAAAGCTATGTTACTGGTACATGTGTTCTAGCTTGTTTTCTAATGTGCATGTCAATTTCTCTAATTCTTTGTGATCTTTTCAGATCACTTACATCAAATTGACATTGAAAAAGATTAACTTATCTTTAGAATTTGAAATATTAGCACACATATTTTCAATTAGAACAAGTTGCTTGTCTTACTATTTGACACCTTAAGGCAAGGTGCTTTGCGTAGGTATGCCTTCGTAACAATGCACTTCTAGGAAGTGTGCAAGGAACTCTAGCCTCATCGTGCCTTGCCCTTGATCCTAATGATGTAAACTACTAGGAGTTACGTTCAAAATTAAAAAGAGAATTGTTAAAGTTGCTTTTATAATTTTATGGGATCATGCAAGGTTGAGTTAAGATGTCGAAACATTAACTTTGCTTAGGCAGTCTGTCGATGTCCTCATCACCTAACCTCACCTTTGGCAACCATACTTTCAATTCAACTTTAAGAGAAAAAAATGCCACAATCATATCTTATAGAAATACTCAACTGACCTAAATAAATCAACTGAAAAATGCTAGAAAAAAAGTTCTATAACTTGTGAAGTTTTCACAAGTAAAACTTAATTCCACTTATACAAATGCTCAAATATAAGGAGTATCATACATAGAATTACAAACCACAGACTTTACAAGAAAAATATGCTTACTAGGATTATCTATTTGCCTAACTTCCCGCCACCTTAACATTCCTAGACAAGCAAAACATGATATCAGGAATATAAATGAGATTTGCAAGATGAGTATCATGGAAAAGTAGCAAAGTAAGGAAAGCTACTTTGAATTTTATTGCTATTTTCTGAACAAAGTGTAGAAGTATATATGAACTTCATTCTTAGAATGGAAATAAATCAAAGCTATTAAAAAAACCCATGAGGGGATAGCAGCTACAAGAGGAAGAGGAGGCACATAGATTGTAATCTAAGGGCGATAAAAAGAATGATCTAATAGTTATAACCCATAATCCACATGCTTAAGGATCTCTATCAAGATTGATTAACTTATGGGTCCTACAATCATTCAATACTCACCCTCAAACTAAATGGTATAAATCTATAATTCAAAATTTGTTTATAACATTTTTTGAGGTGAGGTTGAAAAGTCCTTTTGTAAGAACATCTACAAGTAAATTTCTTGTTAGTACACATGGAGTGCAAACCAATCCCCTTTTCAATTTCTCTCCAATGAAATATCTATCCACCTCCACATGCTTAGTATGATCATGTTGTAGTAGATTATGAGTAATACTAATGATAGATTTATTCTCATAGTATTCGTTGGTCCTCTTTTGATTTTTAAATTTTTTGAAATGATTTTGATCCATAGAAGCTATATTAAATTACTTGGACAATAGCTTTAAATTCAAATTAAACACTATATCTTTAAACGTTGTTTCATAGTCCTTGATATTATGATGAAAGATTAGCCATAGACATAATGCTCATGGGACAACTAATAAACCCATTTGGAGAAGATGTGTATGAGCATCAGTGCAGCACACAATGCTAATCCACCAAAAGCATCAATGTTGCTTCCACTTATGGTGATGCCTCACACACCAAACAAAATGATATTCAAAAGATGATGCACTGGTGCAGAAAACTGTGGGGACGATAGGGTAGCTTTCATAATTAAGGTAAAATTATAGGCTGCTTAGTCAAAAGATTTAATTTAAGATTCCTTTTAGATTAATGTTAGTTAACCAAGGTAGAGTTTTCCAAGAAAGCATATTAGAATGCTATACCAGTCATTTCAAGCCAATCCCACATAGTGGGATAAAGACTTGATGTTATTGTTGTACCAGTCATTTCAAAGATCCTGTTAATACCCGTAAATCCATATGCTTAAGATTGATATATCAATACATATTCTTCTTTTTTTTTTCAATTCATTATTTTAAAGATTTTAGAATTTATAAAATGTTAACTTTAGTTTTTATAACATGGTGACACCGAAAGATTTGAACAGTTCAGTTAAGTCAAATCATGAGCCAGTGCCTCCACCTAGTGATCTGTTTTCAAAAAAAACTTGCTTAATAGTCTGGGTGAAGCGGTTACAATTGCTCAAAATTTGAATTGGGGTGAATTAAATTAATAGCAATAAGCACAGGAAATATAATAACTAAAAGACCATGTATCACATTTGGTTACAGCAGTTAATCAAATTAATACATATGAAATTAATACCAAATTGTTTCGTGCAAGAAAATCTCTCTTTTGCAAAGAAATGTTTAGATGGAAATGAAGAAAATGAACCGAATAATAACTCAGGCGTAATGTGATAGAGCTGCACCAGATCGCACAAAACACAAGCATTAGAGGTGAGGGCAGTTCTAACAAACAAAATATCAAAACACGACAGACTGTGATATAAATCACAGTTTTAATGACAAAAAAAAGATGTTAAAGAACTTAGAGTACTTGATCATACATATTTGTTTACTAGTAAGTATTGTAGCTTCTAATCCTCTTGAAAAGTTATGCAAACAATAAACTTGTAAGATTAATAATAATGAATGGAACAAAAGATTCACTTACAATATTTTGCTCTGGATGGTGGCCCTTCGGGAAATGGAAATCGGACATCAGAACATCATAACCAGGCTTCAGCAGAAAAAAAAAAAAAAACAAGCTTAATCAATAATATAGCTGTTTGAATCAAGCAAAGCCTCAGAAAACAAATTAATTATTACATCAAAACAGTAAGGCTAATCTACAAGAAGATGGTTCCACAAGGACACGAATCTATTCATTCCCCGAATCTTTCAGTCCATGAATTAAAAAAAAAATAACCTATCTTTTCTCCTATGAATGGAAGAGTATTGGCTATCAGAATCTCCTGTTGATGTCCTCATCATTCTCACTGGGTGGGAGAAAGCTCGACTCTGTCGAGCAAGCATCACAAGTGCCTTCATACAACTCTAGAATGTCGGGATCCAATCTCTGTAGCTCATCACGATCAATCCATGTGTTCTCCGTCTCCGGTTTTCTTTTCGATTGAACTAAATACCTTTGGCGCCCACCCTTTGGTGGAAATGATTTCATCATTAAGTAATGCTTCAATTTTCTCCGCATTAGATAAAGAAGGGATATTTAAGAGTGGAGGTAGGCTAGGATTCTCACCAGGTAGGGTCACACAAGACTCAATATTACTAGATTTGTGGTTTAACTCTGGTCCTTCAAAGGCTACTAGATCTTTGATGTTAAACATAGGATTCATGTTAAAACCTTCAGGTAGGTCTAGCACATAAGCATTACTATTTATTTTTGATATTATTTTAAAAGGTCCTGCACTTCCAGCATGTAACTTTTTAATGGTCCCTTGTGAGGACCGTTCCAGACGAATCTGTACTATTACAAAATCTCCAACCTTGAATTCTTTAAATCATTTCTTACGATCCGCATTAAGTTTATAATTAGCATTGCTTTGTTCAATCTTTTTATTAATTTCCTTATAAAATTCCTTGAGATGCGATGCAAATGCAGATGTTCTTAACTTAGGACACATATAGATCAAGTATATAGGCTGTCTAGGTTGGTACATGTACACAATTTCAGCGAGACTTAGACCTGTGGTTTGATTAACATAGTTGTTATAAGCAAATTCAGCTGTCAGAAGTTTGGAGTTCCAATCTCAAACGTGTTCTCCTACAAAGGTTCTTAAGAGGTTGCCGAGACTGCTATTAACAACTTCAATTTGGCATCAGTTTGAGGATGGAAAGCGGTAGAAAATTGCAATTTGGTACCCATCTTATGCCATAAAGTCTTCTAAAAATAACTAATAAATTTGACATCTGAACAGACACTACGGTTTTAGGTAATCTATGTAACCTAAACATCTCATCAAAATATAGTTTCACCGTTCGAGAAGCATCAAAAGTTTTGGAAAAAGGAAATGGGCCATTTTGGAAAAAATGATCAACTACCACGCAAATAGAGTCATGTTTTCTAGAAGTCTTAGGTAGTCCAAAGACGAAATCCATACTTACGTCCTGCCAAGGGCAATTGGGGATTGAGAGGGGTGTGCAGAGACAAGCATTTTGTTCACGCTATTTAGCTAGCTGACAAGTGTGACACCTTTACACAGTTTACTAACATCACGTTTAAGACTAGACCAGTAAAAACATTGTTCTACAGAGCAATGGTTTTCTTTTGGCCAACATACCCAGCTAGTCCTACAGCGTGTAATTCCCACACGAGAAATTCCCGAAGTGAAGAGTTGGGTATGCAGAGCTTTTGTGATTTGAACAAATACCCATCTTTAAGAAAAAAATCATTAACTACTCATTCACCCCCAGTTGTCAATAAAGAATACATATCCTTAAAGTCATGGTAGTCTTTATAATTCTCCTTAATACTCTCGAATCCAATTACTTCAGTCCTCATTTCTCGAGTTATCATCATACGACGACTTAACGCGTCTGTCGCTTTACTTTCATAACCTACTTTATGTCTGATTGTGTAGATATATTCTTACAAAAATTCGACACAACAGCCATGTCGAGCATTGAGTTTCTTTTGGTAGTTTATATGACACAAGGCCTCATGATCAAAGAAAATGACAAATTCTTGTGGGAGCAGGTAGTGTCTCCAATACCTAAGGGACTGAATGATGGAATAAAATTCTGTCATATGTGGAGTATCGTTGTCTAATATCATTTAATTTCTTATTGAAGTAGGCCACGGGATGTCCTTATTGGGAAAGGACTCCACAAATACCAAGACCAGAAATGTCACAAGTTACTTCAAAGACTTTATAAAAATTAGATAGATGCATGACAGAGGCTTCTACCATTCTTTTCTTGATCTCTTCAAAAGCTTTAGAAGCAGATATGGTTCAATGAAATTCGCCCTTTTTCAAACAATCTGTTATTGTGGCAATGATGGTGCTAAAATTCCTAATAAACCTCCGATAGAATGTAGTCAATCCGTGAAAACTCCGAACATGCCTAATATTCTTAGGTTTAGGTCACTCATTAATTGCACGTACCTTTTCAAGATCTGCTGAAATCCCTTGAGATGATATAATAAATCCTAGGAAGGTAACACTATCTGTGAGGAACGTACATTTCTTAGAATTTGCATATAAATGTTCTTTCTTTAAGACCTCACAAACTTATTTTAGGTGATTTAAATGTTGTCCAACCAAATTATTATAGATCAAAATGTCATCGAATTGATTGTTTGCATGTCTTTGTAACATTAGTCACCCCTGCAACTCAAAAAATAAGTAGTGACAAAGAGTCCCAAACACATTGAATCTAGAAACTGATTTTGATGTATTTAGAGAAGCAGAGCTAATTAGCTTGTTGATCTTGGAGATTAACCCATCGGCTTATGGCATTTCCTTATTGGCTTTGGAAGTGGACCTAGCTGGTTAATGATGAGTCGGCTTCATCTTCCACCTTGGGATGGACCAAGGGCAGGCTCTAACCTATTGACCCATGGAAGACTTTTGGAAATTTGGACAGATTTGATGAAACAAATGGTAGCATGATTGTTTACTCGAGGAAAGGTCATTGTGATACGTCAAATATGGTCAAAGTGGCAATACTAAGTATGTATGGAGCCTCTTCCTAATTTTTCATGGTTTTATCATTTAAAGAAGGCTATGAAGAATGTTCCATCAGATGTCATAGTGGAGCACAACTCAATTTACACCGTGGGAAGGACAATAAGATATATATCAATGGTTGTCATCATGAAGTGCGACATGATCTATGTCATGAGGGTTGAGTGAGAATAATTCATTTTAGGAAAATTATACCCTATATTTGTCATTATAAGTGATAGTTACCAAGTTAAGTGCTAGCTTTTTCACTATGCGCTATTGATTTTTTAAAAGAGGAATGTCTTGGATTTGGAGCAAGGAGGGAATCATGGTTGCAATCATATAATCAATGTGGGATATAATTTTCGACCGGATGAAGGAAGCTGTTGATAATCGATAACTGCAAACATGGGAGACGAGGCATGTTCTTTAAGACATTGTGACTTGCGAGCCGGAAAGGAGATTAGGAAAACAAGTTAATGAACGAAAGATGCGTGATCGTAAACAGCATAGCGGAGATGGAGTAGCAAGATTCACATTGCACTGGTATTGTGTCTTTATTACAAGTGGATTGGCATTAAGAGTGGAAGAGGATATTTGCATTGGAGAAAGCTCTAGATAATTTGAAGAAATGAAAATGGCTCATCAAATTTGATCCTCTTTGGATCTGACCTGTTAAGCCAAATACCTTTTGTTTAAGTCATTCAAATCATCTAGAAATGATTTAGAATTTTCAAAATTTGCCCAAATTAATTAGGAAATTAATGCATTAATTTGACGCACTGCTTAGGGCATTGATTGAGCTCATTAAGCCCCAGATTAGTGTTAAATGGACCCTTGAGCCTAATTAGAGGCCATAACTTTGATCAATTTGATTAAGGCATAGACTTAATTAGTCATTATTACAATTTTGGATAAACATAATCACTTCATTAACAAAGATTAATAATAGTAGCAACTGTGTGCGAAGGGTGAAAACATGGAAAAAAAATCAGGCGCGAGTCAAAATTTGCAGCACGACATACCTTCGCTTCAAAAGAAACAATTAAACTTTGTAGCATCAAATGAGGATAGAACCTGCCAAAAAAAATTTACAAAGAATGAATACATAATTGCTGCAACCTCCACACCGGCCACGTGTTTATGCAGAATAGTGAAGCTCAACATGAGCCGAAAAATAGTGTCATTGGATGTTATCCTTACAAGCAATCACGTAGTCATGCAAGCTTATGCCAGATCAATTCATTTATAAAGAGTGAGGACGCTGCTTTGAATTTTATGATCAACCGTTTTTCATGTAGGCATGGTAGGGAAAGCGTCTAGCAAATGATATGTTTGTGGATTCTATATCGTAAATTGATCTTCATTGATCTTTTGAGATGTGCACAATATACCATTCGTCTAAGTTAATTAGATACAATAGAAATGTCCGTGGAAAACTTGGTCACTATCAGACCTTCCCAATTCAGTTCAATTTGATAAGTTGGGTTAAACCCTTGCCCTTACGAATCTATTTCTTTGCTCAACCCACCAGGCTGAGCAAATACATAGGCCCATACTAAATCCTAACCAAAGATCTACAATGTAGCAACATCAAAGTGCGGATGGCAACAATTCTAGGCATGGAAACCCTATTAAATAGGTCCAACCAATAATTGTTTCAGACAAAGAATGATGTGATACGGGCTTGGAGTTACACAAGATTATCAAGAGAATTTAATAGAAGTTTAACCTTTATAAAATGATGCGTCAATTCAAAGTAGGTTACAGGAATTCTCAGTCTTCCACTTGCTTACGCAAAGAATTGCATGAAAATTAACCAAGACACTTTCAATCAAATACAAGGTGAAGTAATGTGAAAGCTTGCAACACAAATCCAAAAGTTAATAATGAGGTGTTCACCTTTGAGGATCTACTCTCTTCCCTACGAATCTAGGTTGAGCGGAGAAAAATCTTGCACAATAGAAATGAAGTAACCACTAGGACGGACGAGCCAAGGAACGTCGTTGTTGGAAAGGTAGCCGGAATGGTGGAGGAAGATGGTCGTCCAATGATGATCCAACATCCCTTTGACCTTTGCTCGCCGATCACGTCAACTAAGGTGTATTGGATACGGTCGATGAATTCTTCAACGATGTCGTCGAAATCAAAGCCCACATCAAAGAATGGCGATTGGAGGATGTCGACTTGATCTCGATCGTCATTCACAAATCCAAAGTTCCATTCGGGTTCCGCCATACATGGTGAATTGAGAGGAGGGGGGGGAGGAGGGGCGGCGGCTTGTGAGGATAGGGGTGAGAGGGGACGGCTAGGGTTAGGGGAAAATTAGGGATTCTCAATAAATCTGAATTTAATTTCAGATTTAAGTGATTTTGGAGGGAAAAGGTTTGAATTTCAATTTCAATATTAAATGAGGGTAGGGGTTAATTTGGCAAGAGAGGGAATTTTCCCATGCATGGAGCCGGCAGCATATAGAGAGGGGGAGGGGTGATTATGGGGATTTAAAGGAGTTTCCAAATGGGGCTAAGTGAATTTGGTGGGAGATTAATGACTTCTTTTAAATTTGAAATTCCAATTGAATGACAAATTAAAAATTTCCTAATTTAGGGTCTCCAAATTAGGAAAGTATGGATTTGAAATTTGAATTTCAAATTCAAGGGTGGGAGGAAAGGAGGACGTGGGTGGAGGTGGTGGTTGGCGGTGGGGTGGTGGTGGCCGGTGGCTTGAGTACCCAATGAGGGTGCCGCCGGCTTGGGAAGAGGGGGGGAAGAGGCTCGGCCATGGGGAATGGGGAAGAGAAAGAAAAATTTGCAAAGTTAAATACAAAGGATCAAGAACTCTCAAAGAGACCTTGGGATTTTGGAACTCACAAAGAGATCCACAATATTATTTCCTCAAGAACTCACAAATAGATTTAGGGGAAATGTCATGAACTCACAAAGAGAACAACAAGAGAAAATTTCCATTCATCAACTATCCTCATACATAAGAAGATGGCCATATATATAGGCCTCAAAATGACAAATAAAACAAAAGACTAGAATGCCCCTTGGGCTACAATAGCGACCAATAAGGGCAAAAATGAAAAAACTGAAATAAAAATGATTAATACATAAAATGTTGATACAGAAAATGCATCAAAAGTAAAGCCTATGTCGCCTCTGATAAACGCGTCGAAACCTCTTGTCGATGTCCCCATCAAAGAATTTGACCTGATTCATCAAATTAGGCTAAGAAATGCTCTGAAATTCTTTTCAAAATAACTTCGAATTACTCTTATATGACCAAATAGAGCCCAAACTTAGCTAAATATATTGCTTATGCTTGACTAGATTGATTTAATGTAACATAAAGAGATAAAAAATACTTGGGAAACCCAAAAAAATTATATTAATTGGATATATGACTGAAAATGTTGGAATTCCAAAGAATAAGGCCATACACATACTTGTCGGTGGCAAATGGCGCACCACGGCACAAAGATCCCAGTGGAGCCATGGCGCATAGCACACGATGCGATGCGCGCTATTTAAACATAGCGCACAATAGAAAATAATATATATATATATATATTAAATACCACTAAATAACAAATAATATATTGCTTAGAGTAAAATTTAGTAATAAATATTCTGTCAAATAGCAAAAAAGATGATTTTAAATATTACATAAACTTATATCAATAGATTTGAGCATGATTTAAGCATAATTTATCTTAAATCCTACCTAATAACAAAAATGATAACTTTAAATCATGCAAAAAAATTAAATCTTTTAGAGTTTTTTGATATTTTATTAAATTGAAGATTAATTAATAATTGATGATGATATTAATATACATCTTTAAAAAATTAATTTTATAATTTATAATTTGAAATTTATAACATGTTAACAAAATAGCACACGCCATGTGCGCCATGCGCCATTTCCCATGCATGGCGCAAATAGCGCACTATTTTGATGCGTCGCGCCGCGCCAAGTAAATAGCGTCGTATGTGTGCCAAGCCTCATTGTGCACCATGGCGTGCGTCATTTTGCACCATTGATATCTATGGCCATACGACACTTGAAAGATGTTGAATGGTAACCAATGCCTAAGCCAATTTGAGTTTTAGGGGCCCCTGGATTACTATGAACTTCATAAGTGGCACTTCTCAACCGACAAAACACCTGAAGAGAAGTGATACCAAAATACTAATAGAATTGAGTACCAATGGATCTCAATAAATGATGTAAATGTTTATTTAGCTTTGAGCCAACCTAATCGCAACGAAAGATGCCGCTTAGGTCAAGACTTGCTAATTTAATATAGCTCACTACCTATTTCAATAAAAAAAATGCAGACCTTTATATTCATTCCAATATTAGATTCTATTCAAACGCGATAACAAAAATAGACAATAAAAAAATTATCTTGAATGTCCAACTCAAAACACCTCGACCCCAATAAGAGTCATCTACTCATCACTCAATTCATAAAACAATCTCTGCTGATGCATCCAGAATTTCAAAATTGCCCAAAAAGAATGCCCATATTGCTAGGTTACCACAAAAGAAAAATTCAACAAATTAGTCAATGTGAAAGACTTCAAATCTACATACTCATCCACCCAATCACGGGCAAACTCATGACACCACCCTCTCTATTAGTCACCTACAACATCTCTTTCACTTTCATAGCTCCTCAACCCTCGCACTTTGTCTCATTTACAGCAAACCATCAAACCCGCCTCCTACATCTCTTCCTCTTTCCATCAATACCAACTCCAGACAAAGCGTAACTCCCTCAACCCGCTTCCTCTTCTGTCTTCCTCACACGCTCTCATATCATAGCTCTCTACCTCTCCAATCTTTGTCTCGTGATCGCCAAAGCCAACTCGGCAGCACTTACTCACGAGCTTAGTAAACCACAATCCATTACAGGCGACCCCCAACAACTCCTACTATATACCACTGATTGTTTCTCCCTATCATTCTCTTCCACACCCTCTAACACTTTCTCTATCTAACTTTTCTCGCCTAAAAAGTAGATATAAAGAGAAAATAAAAAAGAAGAAATAAAGAAAACAAGAGAAAAACGAAACAAAAAATAAAGAAAAAAGATAAGTGCAAAATAAAGGAAGAAATAAAAAAGGCTTCTTTGTTAGCCCTCATTGTATTATCATCGTCTCATCGTCAAGTTCATCATCTCCTCACACAAAAGTCTAATACAAAGTAAAATTGCTACAATGCTCAAGTACCCAAAGGATAGGAAAAACTATTATACTTATATATTCTTTCGTGCATTGTTTTAAAAACCATATCGAACCGAACATTTTGACTAGTTCAACCCGGAACTAGTAGACTAGTCGGTCCGAATTTTTTCTAGAATAATTTTTGCATTGAACCAAAAAAAAATGATTCAAACTGTCGTTTTAACTGCCAAACCGTTGAACTAGACCCGATTTTAAGGACCAACCGATTCAATTATTACCATCTTTACATAATTAAATAAATTAGTTTAATAAATTAAATATAATATGCTAAATTTAATGAATTAATTTCAATTTAGTATATTTAAATTTTCAAATCACTTTAAAATTTTTATAATAATCATTTATCAAACAAGCTCCAACTAAGCTTATTCACATGACACAACCATCCATGCAACTTGTTTACTCTTTCAAATCTAAAAAATCATAAAAATCAAGGTTGCCAAAACCAGACCAAACATAAAACTGAAAGAGTGAGAGGTTCAAGATTCAATGGTTCGACTGGGGTCGAATCAGGGGGAGAACTAGTTGACATAATAAATATGAAAATTATATAAATAAAATTTAAATGACAAAACAATAATAATATAATAATCATATAATAATATAATTTTTTTACAAAAAAAAAAATTTAATTCATACATTAATAATATCTTAAATAATTTTAATATTAAATGCTTGCAATCTTTAAATTTAATTCACATTTAACATAAATTCAATTCATATACAAACTTATAAATTTAATATAAATTATTATTATATTATGATATATGTTTAGATATGATTTACACCTATAGATTATATGTTAAATTCATACTATAATTGTAAATTATTCATCTTAGATAATTTATTAATAATAAATAAAGAAATAACTAATTTTTTCTAATGTATAAATAAATCTATTAAATATTATTAATTAAAAAATAAATATTATTGACATTATAAAAAAATTGTTTTAAAATCTATTTAAAAATATATATTGTATGTTGTATATTTTAAGGACTTTAACTTATTTAATCTCAAATCACTTGAAAACTTCCTCCTTTAATTGTTTATATTATGTTTTACTTTTGCATGTGATAACAATTCACATGGAGTGGTAGAGCCATGCAAAATGTTTAGTTGGAATTTCTTTGTCAAATAATTATTTTAGGAATTTAATTATTATTATTAAGAAATTAAAATAAATTAAATTAAAGTTAATTTGTTTTAAGTTAATATTTTATTTTAAATATATTAAATTAATTTAATAATTATTTAAATCGTTCATTGAACCGATCGATTCAAAAGAACCAAGACCGATTCACTAATTGAACAGACAATTCAAGTTGGTTCATGTCGGTTCAATGGAGAAAATGGTTTTATAATGGACCAGACTGGCCATATGAGCAGTTCACTATTGAAACGGTCTGTCCGATCCGATTTTTAAAAACCTAATATAAACAGTACTAAGGCAAAGTGTCAATTATGAACTAGAAAGAATATCGTTGATGTTAATATCTGAAAAGAAAATCTTTTCATAATATGTAATTTAGATGTAATTTATATTAATTAAGCTAATTATATTAATATTTAATTAATAATTATATTACTGATTAGTCAATTAAGTTCATTTAGATAATTAATTTATGCACTAATTATACTATTAATTATTTAATTAATTTTCTTAATTATTAATATTTTAAATTATATTAACTAAGTTAATCAATAATAACTTAGATGCGCCTAGGCTTTGCCTTTCATCTTCTCTTTTCTTCCTTGTTGTTCGGCTTCGTTGCTTCACAGGAGGTGTAGAGATTGCACGCGTCGCTTCTTTGGCTCCTTCGTGGTTGTTCGACTTCGCTCCTTCGATGACTTTCCCTTCCTGTCGGATTGTAAGTTATGACATTTTGATCGGAAAAAACAATGGGGGCTCACTGGCTGAGAAGGTAACTTTCTCCCTTTCGAGGCGCTGCCTTGATGTGCCTCAGCGCCTCATGCCTTGAGGCATACGCTTGTGTGGAAAAAGGCGTAAGCCTCCCCCGAACGTTCGAGGCTTAAGCCTCAGTTCGCCCGACCTCCGCCTCGCGCGCCTCAAGGTGTCTTCCTCGAACGCCTTTTTAATCCATGGTGCAAACATCCAAATACCCTTACAAATTTAGTGTTTTACTATCAAAATCAAACTTCCAAATGGCAAACACAATGATGCAAATAGCCATTCCCAATGGCCATCTCGAAAGTAAATTTCAATCGGAGGGATCCTTTTACAAAAAATGTTGTCAAATTCTAAAGAAAATTATTTCGAGCTTAGATTTTAATACACAATACAAAAATTCCAAAAACAAATTATAAAATATGAAAATATTTCAAGCAACAAAAGACTACTCCTTGCTTAAAACAACAATCTGTGAATCCTCTGCAATAGTTTGTTAAGTGTTACAAATTTAAAATAACCTCGAGTCACAAAAACCTAATATCATATCAAGCATATCATTATGATCACTCTCAAAAAATCTCATGTGAGTAAGGACGTGGCAAATGTCCTGTAACTGGGTGATTCTAATGTAAAATGACAACACAAAGAAATAGTTATGACTGAGGCCCTTTTACCAAGTGGTTCATCATAAAATGGCACAATTAAATTACCACACAGTCAAAGCCCAAAGTTCCTCAATGGCTTAGCCTCTTGAGTTATGAATAAATGATACGCTTACCAAGGCACAAAGCACTCTGTTAGTAAAGATCGACTTAAAATTATCCTCTTAGATAAAGAATCGTCGAATCTCCTTGAAGGACACAAGTCATAGCTACAAAAAAGAATCATTCTCGGTCGACTACCTCCTTTGACCCAGTACACCCAGGTCCACGACAACCTGACACGATTAAACTAAAAGGTCTTAATTGGATTCATCATCATTCCCCCCAGCATACGCACTAAGCTAATGGCAGTACATATCCCTCAATCTAAAACCAAAAATGGTGTTAATATAAACTAAGCATTTAACTCCTACAAACTGGCCTTAATCGAAAGTTCTCTCTCATGATCGAGAGGGCTAAATAACCATAGGGACATGCACTAAAATCATATCATAAAGTTCTGGCAAAATGATGGTGAAATATCTATAGTGTTTCATCTACATTCTAAAATTTTGAACCACTAAAACTCTATCAAAAGTCGATCATGAATTTTCTAAGCTCATAAAGTTAGGTGATGTCAAAAAAATAAATCAAATTGCAATATATAATAGAACATTTTTTATTTTAAATCTTATAAAAATATGAAGGTTATTAGTAGATCTTTATATATATATATCAGTTTTGTAGAGGATAGAAATGGGATAGACATAGCATGATATTTAGTTTGACACAGATTATTTAGTTGTTGGAAAAAAATATGCCTATTAATGAAATTTATTAACTTGGAAATCCAATCTTATAAACTAAATATAGCTGGTTTCACATGGAAAAAAACTGACACGCGCTAGATAAAGATTTTATAGAGATAGAAGCTTTCATTAAATCATCGAGCTTCTACAATTTGAACTTCAAAATGGATCATGAGCTGGCCCTCAATCTGTTAAGCCTAGCTGTGTACGTCTTTGTACATGAATTTTGGTCCTCCGGGTCTTTTATATGGATAGGTTTAGATTATAATGTAGACAAACCTAATTGGCAGCCATAACTGTAGTAATAATAGCTATATTATTTCGATTGTTTTGCTTTGCTACTTTCTTCTTTTCATATTAAGTGAAAAAAACATTATTGTACTGCATCTCATGGCTTCATTCAAGTCTGTTTGAATGGATGACTACGTATGCTTTCATCAATTTACCATCAAGATTTTATCTTTATCAGTGGGTTATTGATGGGCTGAGTTGGAGTGTGGTTGATTAATCCAATGCCTAGCTGCAGTGGTAATTTACGATTAATTAAAAAAATTAGGATTTTCCCATTATTTTTACAATAAATATCATAATACAATACTAGGAATTATGCAGAGACGTCATTTGAAAATTGCATCCAACGCATCATACTTTCTTCAAAGAAAAGGTTAGAAGCTTATACCTTGGCATTATTTTGGAAATAGTACTTAAAGCATGGCTGACATGAGTGTTTGGACACAATTCTGTACAAAATTTGCTGCACATCTGCATGACCAAAAAAAGAAGCTCAATATCACAGAGATTGGTATGAGATGTCGCTGAAAACAATGTTTATGATGACAAATTCAAATGTAATAGTAAACCTCATCCACCATGCAGATGAGCTCCTCAGCATCTACAGTACGAAACCATCCCCTCTTGCATGCATTCTGATGGACAAAAAAATATTTAAATAACTACCAAAATAACTAAAGTAGATAGGCATCTTTTATATCATGTCAAATACTACAACAACAATAAAAACAACAAGTCTTTATCCCACTAAGTTCGGTCAGCTACATGAATTCTCTTTCTCCATTGTGTTCTGTTAAGAGTTAAATTTGTATTTAAATCTAAAAAAAAAAATCATATATAATATTTTTTACAAAGTCTTTTTAGGTCTACCTCTGCCTTTCTTAACACAAGTCAAATCAAATGAATCTACTCTCCTAACCGGGTCATCAGAAAGCTGATATTTTATGTGACCAAACCATCTAAGTTGACTCTCTATAATCTTATATGGCACTTAAGCTAGTCCAACCTTTTCATTTATATACCCGTTTCTCATTTTCTTTATAAGTGTGATGCCACTCATCTACCTCAACATCCTCATCTCTGCAACACTTAACTTAATTTTATGCTTGTCTTTTAATCATCAACATTCTGTGCAATGAAGCATTTTAGGTCTCACCACCATCTTATAGAGTTTTCCCTTAAGTTCGATGGATATTTTTCTATCACACAACAGGCCCGATGCATTCCTCCACTTCAACCATCCAATTTGTTTCACCGTCACTTTGAACAATAGATTCAAGATATCTAAAACGTGTACTCTTATTAACGACTTGATTGCCCAAAGTCAAAGTCCCGCTACTAGATATATTAATATTAAAATTATATTCCATGTATTCAGTTTTAGATATACACAAACCAAAACCTTTATTCTCTAATGTTGACCTCCATAGTTCACATGTATCTTCAACTCCCTCTCCAATCTTATCAACAAGAATAATATCATCAGAAAAAAGCATATACCATGGTACATCCTCGTGCAAATGTCTAGCAAGAACAACCATGACTAGAACAAAAAGATATGAGTTTAAAGCTGATCTTTGATGGTATCCAAATGAAATAGGAAAATACATAGTAAAATCAATCACCTTGTGTTTGAACACAAGTAACAGACCCTTTATACATATCCTTAATGACTTAAATATCAGCATTAATAACTCCTTTATTTTCAAAAACTTTCCAGAGCACTCCTCTTGGTACTTTATCATATGCTTTTTCTAAATCAATAAATATCATATGTTAATCCTCTTAGTCTCTCTATACTTTTTCATCAAACCTCTCAATAAATGTATAGCTTTCATAGTAGACCTACCCAGCATGAATACAAATTGATTTTGAGAAACATTAGTATATCACATCGTAACCTAAGCTCAATAACTCTCTACAATAGTTTTAAAGTACGACACATTAATTTAATTTATCTATAATTCATACTCTTGTATACACATTTATTCTTAAAAATAGAAATCAACAAACTCCTTCTCCACTCACCTGGAATCTTTTGTCCTTAAAATAATATTAAAAAGTTTCATAAACCAAAAAATTCCTTCATCTTCAAAACATTTTCACACCCCTATTGGAATATCATCAAGTCCAACTTTTTCACACATCATTTTCTTTAAAGCCCTCTAACTTCAATTTTACTAATAAGCCGATAAAACTAAAATTTCAATTTTTTATTTAGAGTGCTAAAGTTGCTAAAATCAATCGTATTCTCACAATCTTCATTGAAAAGCTTATCAAAATATCTCATCCACCTTTGTTGAATATCTTTTTTTAATAAAAATACTTTTTATCTTCTTAATACACTTTATTTAAACTAAATCTTTACTTCTCCTATTTCTTTATTTTGCTAACTTATACATATATTTTTCATCCTCCTTAGTATCTAATTTATGATATAAGTCATTTAAAATTATTTTTTTTGCATCGTATATTGCTTTCTTAGACTCCTTAAGGGAATCTTTATATCTTTCCCAATTTTTCGAGCTCTTACACTTGAACAATTTTTTTAACAAAGTTTCTTATTTTTAATCTTTTCCTACACATTTTAATTCCACCACCAACTATTTTTACTATCAATAGTTTCTCCTTTTAATACTCCAAACACATCCTTTGCAACTTTCTTAATATCACTAGTTATTTTTTTCACATAATACTAGTTTCCTCATGCATCATAAGATCTTGAATCTATTTTCATGTTCTTTAAATACCCCCATCTAATCTTAAGAAAATATTTTACTTTATTTTTTATAATTCGTCCCTTCATCTTAAATCCAAAACAAATAAATGATATTGAGTAAATAAACTTTCACTATGAATAATTTTACAATTTTTGCAATCTAATCGATCTGTTTTTCTTATAAGAAAATAATTAATTTGAATTTTATTATATACATTTTATAAATAATGAGATACTCCTCTCTTTTCTTAGATAAAGTAATAGTAATTACAAAATCATAATCTAGAGTAAAATCTAATATGATCATATCACGCTAGCTATTTAGAAGTGGCCGCCTTACTAGTTGGGTCGATATTTCATCGTCGGGACTGACCAAAGGAGCTTGAAATACCTCATAGATTAGAGGGTGGTGACTGAGGAGCATTAGAGGTGGTTGCCCAAGCTGTTGGTTTACAACTTCGAGACCTAGTATAGGTGAGATCTAGAAAACAAGGTGGTTTATGCCTTGTCCAGATGTATGGGGGAGCTCCAAGATTTAGACATTTTGATACCACTGATGTTAGATTGGGGGGTTATTAAAGAGGAGAGTGTGCAGGACGAGGAGCTGAGGAAGATTAGGGCGGATCTTCTGAGGGATGGGAGTAGCCACCCTGGATATTCCCTAAATGGGGAGAGACTGCTATATCAGGGGAGATTTGTATTGCCGCGAACCTCAGTCCATATTCCACACCTGCTACAGGAATTCCATGGAACACATAAGACATACATAAGATTGGCAGCAAAATTGTATTGGAAGGAAATGCACAAGGATATAGAGTAGATGGTGGCTAAATGTGCGGTGTGTCAGAGGAACAAATATATGGCCATGACTCCAAGGGGTTACTTCAACCCCTAGCTCTTCCAGATATAGTGTGGGAGGAGATCACCATAAATTTTATTGATGGGTTACCTTGATTCGACAGGTTTACATTGATCTTGGTGGTGTGATTAACAGGTTGAGCAAGCATGCTTATTTCATCGCCCTATAATATCCTTAAATAGAAATAATAGTGGGATCGGCATTCATCAGAGAGGCAGTCCGACTGTATGGGGTACTGGAGTCTGTAGTGTCTATAATACCCAAAATTTTCAAAAATGTAAGCATAATTTTGGCATGAAGTTTCCTCAAAATAAGACACGAAAACAGAGATCTAGGAAAACACGAACCTAGGCTCTGATACCAATTTGAAGCAAGAAAAATTTTGGGAAGAGCCCCCAAATTTTTGCAAGCAAATGAAAAGCTTCCTAGGAAATAGAAAATACACCTAAGAACACAAAATAGACAAAATAAGAAACAATACAACTTTTTATAATAAAAGACTTACAAACTTTGACACAAAATCAAAACACCTAAAGGAGCTCTTCTTTGCATGATTGAGAAGAATGATACAAGTGGAGTCGAACTTGTGGAAAGAAGAATGAGATTAGAAGCCGGGACGAAGGAGGAGAAGCTCGCAAGCTTTCCTAGAGGGAGAGGAAGGGATGGAACAAGCTCGCAAGCTTTTCCAACAAATAAACCTGCAGGTTTAGGCTCCAAAAATCACATTATAACTCTCTCCTAAAAACTCTAAAAAAGCCACAAATATCAAATATATATAGGACTTGAGAGGGCAGCCAAACAGCCACCATAATCACTAATTAATCCCATTAAAAGAGGGAAATATAAGGCCAAGAGACATTCCAAATAGCAGCTGAAAAGACATCCCAAAAATTAGCCAAATACATCCCATTCCAGCTTACAAGGGGCGGAACCAGCAGAAACCGAGGAGGCCAGGGATAAGGGGGCAGAACCCCAACAGCCTTTTCACGGGAACAGCAACAGCCAAGGCCCCAAACCGAGAAAAGCAAGCAGTATAAGGCCCCAAACTGAGAACAGCAAGCAGCCCAAGGCCCCAAACCGAGAACAGCAAGCAGCCCAAGGCCCCAAACCGAGAACAGCAAGCAGCCCAAGGTCTTAATTCCATGGAAGAAATCAAAGTGACTCAAGAAGGGGAAGAGACATGAGTGGGGAAACCAAAGAGTCTTTAGAGAGGGGAGTAAAGGAGGGGGAATGAATATAATTTTGGCAATAAATACACAATTTATGAGCTGAATAATAAGAAGAGGCTCATTAATGAGCTGACTTTAGTAGAACTTAAAAAAATTTCAACTCAACTTGTTTTGACCCCCCCATGGCTACATCAAATTCTCCTTCAATTGAAAGAATTCATCTCCCAATGAGTTGTCTATAAATTTCTTTTGAGGAAGCAACGAAGGCGCCTCAAGCTCTTGAATTTGGGCTTCGTACTTCTTCAGGATCTTCTCTTGCTCCAGCTTGAATTAGGTTTCACTTCATATCTTATATTTTTTTATGTTTTATATTATTCACTCATTAGTACATAAAAAAAAAATTTATCATTTTATGTTTACGCAATATTTTGATTTTAAGGCTTACGCCTCAAAACACCTTGAGGCTTACGCCTCGCCACACGAATAAAAACGCCTCAATACCCGAATACGCAATTTTAAACATTGGCAAAAGCGTATAGTCATCATATGACTTGCCTAAAGTAAATGGATAATAAATAGACTAAGGAATATGTGGGAGGTTAAAGAATATTTATAGTGTTTGATATTGTTATGCATTAGTTATTTATAAAATTTTATGATTCATATAAAAATTCAGATATCATTTAGAATTGAATGCAAAAATTTATGTTTCTTATTTCTTATACCATGATTGTGTATTTCATTGAATTTTAGCTCATTAGTAGTGGTTGTACTACAAGAAAGGGGGAGGAGCCAACAGGGCTCTAGGCAGGAGATTGACTGCACTTTTGTATACCAACATTTTTATGTACATAAAAGCTAGAGTAGTAAGTTGTACAGTCAAACTTT